CCAGCCCTGCACGAGGGGGCGGGGCCTCAGAGCTCCGCCCGCGGCGAAGCCACGCCCCTCCCCAGCCCTCCGGTCCCTCCGCGCTCTGACCACCGTCTCTCTGGCTGCAGTGTGAGGCTCGCGCCGGTAGGGGGTGACGAGCCTCTGCTGCAGATTCTATTCCCACCCAGAAGGCGAGTTTTCACTCCCGTTGCTGGAAATAGTTACAGCGAGAAGTTTTCTTCCCCATTTAATGATCATTGGCAGTCGAAGAAACCCTCACCCCCGACAGAACCCCTACTTCCGATGCTGCAGTTTCCTCATCTGTAAAGTGGGAATAGTCGTTTACACTTCGTGGAGTTACTGGGAAGATTCAAGGAGTTAATACACGTAAACAACATAAGTGTCTGGGTGGTAGGTAGCCCTGTGTGAGTCTTGCCCACTAGCGTGCCGCCGGTGGCTGAGGACAGACGGAGGACCAGCCTGCCTTCGGGCCGGGGCCACCGGTTCCCTAACCTCCAGCTGTTTTATGGCAGAAACCCCCCGGGCTGGGCTCGGCGGGAGGTGTCCTGGCTTTGCTGGGACTATGTAGGTTCAAATCCCGATTTCAACCCCTGGGGGCTTATGGTCCACAGGACTCCCACCGCATGAATGTCCCTTTTTGACTATGTAGGTTCAAATCCCGATTTCAACACCCAGCCCCTCCCTGGGGGGTCATGGTCCACAGGACTCCCACCGCATGAATGTCCCTTTTTACCTGTAATATGGGGACAATTCCCACTCCCGACTTTACAGCGATGCTGCTGATTCGACCTCAGAAAGTTTGTTGAATGAAATGGGGACAATTCCCACTCCCGACTTTACAGCGATGAGATGCTGCTGATTCGACCTCAGAAAGTTTGTTGAATGAACACCCACAACACATTTCAAGCTCATGTAACAGCGGTAAAACTCTTTAATCTCAGAGCGCCCCTCCCAACTCGCGATCCCCACCCCCCAACTCCCCCCGACATCAGGGCCGGAGAGTGAGGGCCCCTGCCCCCACCTTGGGTGGACAAGGGCCCTTTAAGGCACCTCGGGGGAAGGGGAGAGGGCGGGAGCTGGGGACGTCCTGGATGGAAGGACGGGCTTCCGATTGGCAGGCTGTTACGGGATGGACCCAGTGAGTGTGTCAGGCGCAGGGCAGGGCCGGGCCATCCCTGAGGGGCCAGCGCCCAGCTGTCAGGACTTAGTAAAAAAACCTTAGACCCTGTAGTGTCAAGAACCTAGATTTAAGGCCACAGGCTCATCCTGGGCACAGAAGGGCTTGGCCACGCCCCCAGGAGGCTGGACCCAATCAGGTAGAAGAATTTAGGAAGGGCCCGTGGTGACTGGCAGATTGGTGTAGACCTTTACAGGATTCCAGCCAATCAAATGAAGCTGCCCATTCACCGTCTGAACGGAGCGCCACCACCCAATCCTGGGCCTTGGCTACGCTCTTTCAGGGTTAGAGCCAATGCCGTGCGAGCAAAGCCCTTGTCGCTAGGCAGAAAAAGACGCGAATCCACCCATTTAGGGTTTAGAACTAGCCACTCCCGATTGGAGAGCAAGCCAGTCCCTTAATAGAAACAATCTGTCGCTGGGCAGGAAAAGGGGCGACAGCCTGTGGAGCACTGGACAGGCCCCGCGCCTGGCGCAGAAGGGGGTGGAAGGCTGAAAGGGGTCGGACTCCGATTGGCGGGTCTGGGGGGCGGGGTGTAGTGTAGGACCGGCGGACACTGGGCCAGGAGGCTCTCCGGGGGCCTCAGTATTTCCGTATCAGCTTCTGGAAGTCGCTGGTGTTTAGTCGAGGTCGTGGCAGGTCCCCGAAGACCTGGGTGTCCTCGGCCTCCCGCATCACCAGCGCGCGCATGCTCGCTGCGATGCGGTCCAGGTCTGGCGAGGAGGGCTGCGGAGACGACATGGATGCTTCAGCACCCCCAATGGCACCCACGTGTCCCACCTCAGCCTGCAACCCTGGCCGTCAGCGCCTGCACCCTGGGCTGCAGGGCCCCTCCAAGTACTTTTGCCCCTGTGATGCCCATAGCCGCAAGGCCCTTCACCCTGTGTTGCTCGATATAGGACCTTCCTACCCGGTTCAAATACCACCTCCTCCAAGAAGCCTTCCTGCCCTTCTCCCCTCCTTGGCCTGGACCACTGCGCTCTAGTTCCTTCTCACAGTGGAAGTGCTGCTCCTCTGCTGACCATCAGGCTGTGTGCACCAGGAGGGTCTCAGTCTAAGGGTTTGGGTTGGAGATCCATTCATGTGCCAGTCAGGTGGACCCTGCCCGAGACTCCTCAGTGTCCGCATTTACACTGGCGGGTCCAGCAGCGGCTGCCGCCCTGGGTACCACTGGTGGGGACGCCGTTAACGAACAACACTCAAGGCCTGAGCTCTGGGCCCTGGGCTGGTCTCTGAACGGGTCTTTGTCGGTGGCCTCTCAGCCTGCTGGGGGCCAGGCCCAACTCGGGGTGACAGGGAGGTGGACTAGGTGGGGCTGCAGGCAGGATGACAGGACCCTCAGGCAGAGGCTGGCATGGAGAGGGATCCTCTCTCCAGCTCCGGCCACGTGGCAGCCTGCCTTCCTGAGCTGTCCCTGTTGATTTTCTCAGACCCTGTTTCAGAGGAGGAGACTGAAGCCTCCACCATGGCCGCCTCCCGTGGAGCCCATAGCTCCTTTCCAAAAGGAAGCTGGGTGCCACTCCAGCCCTGCCCCTTACAGACTGAGGTCTGGAGAAGTCACATGTACTCTAGGTGCCTCAGTTTCCCCTCTGCTTCAGGAGCTTCAGTGATGGGCGATGATGACCCACCCGGCCACCCCAGGAACTGCATATGTAGGATCAAACAGGAAGAACAGCGGACAAGGGTGTGTGTATGGAGGGTGATCCGTCCCCTCTGAGCCTCAGTTTCCCCAGCTGGAGGGGATACCCAAATCCTTGTGCCTGCGTGCAGCATGTACTCTATACACGGAGCTGGAAACGGGAGCAGACTTTCTCTACAAGACACTGGGACACGCGGTGAGGCCGTGATCGTCAACACTGCATGGCTCAGGCCCAAGAACCTGCCTGGTGAGGTGGGAGGTAGGATTAATCCTATGAAATGCGGCACCCATGTCTGAGGACTTCCTGGAGGAGGTGGCTCTGAGCCCTTCCCGCCTCCCCTTTGCCCCTCCCCTTTGCCCCTCACCGGCCCGTTCTCTTCATCCGATGACCGTGCTTCTGTCCTCTTTTCCTTGAAGGTCCAGATGGGCACGGACACAGGCAGGGACCTGGCGTACTGCTGTGTGGGCAGGGCTGAGGCTGGGGGCACTGCGTAGGCGGAGAGGCTAGTGGGGGTCTCCTCGCTCAGGCTGCCGTCTGAGAGAGAGGGTACGCTTCACCTCTGTCCCTGCCTCCATCCCAGACACCCACTCCCACCCCCACCCAGGGCGTGGGGACAGCTGGGACACTTACCGTCTGTGCTCTCGGGGTCCGACTCGCAGAAGGGGGGCAGGTCCTGGAGCGTGGCATCCTCGTCCATCACAAAGAGCCCTGTGCGTGGCGGTACAGGCCCAGCCAGTCAGGTCACCTCCTCCAGCCACCGCCCCCCTGCTCCCTGCATCGGCCAGGCCCTTGCAAACCTTGGGGTTTCTGGAATACTATTCCCTCTGCCTCGAACACCCTTCCCCCAGTTATCTGCCTGGTCATCCGCAGAAACAGATCTGGTTTCTATCTGTTACACTCTCAGGTGGGAGCAACTGGCTGAACGAAGTCTGTAAGGCAGGAGCGGGGAACCTGTTTTCTGCCAAGGGCCATTTGGATATTTATAACATCACTCACGGGCCATACAAAATTACCAACTTAAAAATTAGCCTGCTTGCCCTAGCCCCCTGGTCGGCAAACCGCGGCTCGAGAGCCACATGCGGCTCTTTGGCCCCTTGAGGGTGGCTCTTCCACAAAATACCATGTATGGGCGCGCACGTACAGTGCAATTGAAACTTCGTGGCCCATGCGCAGAAGTCGGTATTTTGTGGAAAAGCCACCCTCAAGGGGCCAAAGAGCCGCATGTGGCTCTCGAGCCGCGGTTTGCCGACCAGGGGGCTAGGGCAAGCAGGCTAATTTTTAAGTTGGTAATTTTGTATGGCCCGTGAGTGATGTTATAAATATCCAAATGGCCCTTGGCAGAAAACAGGTTCCCCGCTCCTGCCTTACAGACTTCGTTCAGCCAGTTGCTCCCACCTGAGAGTGTAACAGATAGAAACTAGATCTGTTTCTGCGGATGACCTGAAATCAATAAAAATATATATATTTTTAAAAATTAGCCTGCTATATTTGGCCAAACATTTAATTAACTCACCCCTAATGCCTTGGCAGGGCCGACCAAGTGATTTCTAGGGCCTTATACAGCCCATGGGCCTGACAATCCCCACCCCTTCTGTAAGGTCTGTTTGGGATGAACTCACTCAAAATACAGGTTGAGAGAAATACAAGATTATTATGATTCCTGCTTGACATCATGGAAACCTAAAGGCACAGAGAGGTTAAGCCACCTGCCTGAAGTCCCACAGTTAATCAATGGTGTAATGGGATCTGAACTCAGGCCATATGGCTCCAGAATCTGTGCCCTTAACCCTATGCAGGCTTTCTCCTCACAACAGTGAAGAAGCCAGCTATTGAGTCACAAAAACAAACAAGTAACTCCTATTTATTGAGCCCCCTGCAAACTCCTATTCACTCTTCAAAACCCTAATGTCACAGTCCAGTCTCTGGGAAGTATCCAACCTCGAGTTTCCCCCTGAAACTGCCCGTTGCTCCCTCCCTTGGCTTCCTCAGCTGTTGCTGGCATCCCTTGACTCCCCCTTAATGCCTATCTTGTTCTCATAGGCATCAGGCATCCTGATTTGAAATAAACCCTGTTCTGCTCGTGATTCCAGCTCAGGAGGCCCCTACCCCCAACCCCACAGCCTCTACAGGGCACAGTCTCCAGTTCTCTGGCTAGACCAGGAGTCCCATAGGTTGGCTCTGTGTCTATGTCCAGCACCTTCCAGCACAGAGCTGGACCCAGCACAGTGTAAGAAACCTGAAGCTCAGGTAGGGACAATGACTTGCTCAAGGTCACACGGTGACTCACAGGCAGCAAGCCAGCCTGGCACCCAGGCTCTATGAGACTCCAGCTTCCACAGAACCTCAGGCCTGAGATAAGCAAGTCCCACCCCTCCCGGAAAACCTTCAGTGCAGGCAACTTGCCAAGCACAGGGCCACCCCCGTCCCCGCCGTCCGTGCCTCTCACCTCCATTATCGCTGACGCCCAGCCGCTCCCCAGAGGTCTCCGTCTCTGTCAGCTCGTCCTCCTCCTCCTTGTCTTCCTCCCTGGGCAGGGCAAGCTGGGATGGGCTCCCTACAGGGCTGGGCGGCTGTGGTGCTGGTGGGGGGATGGGAGGCCGGGCAGCAGCGGCAGCCCTGTGGGCCAGGGCGATGTCCTGGAGGCAGTGGCGG